TATTACAATACTGCAAGTTTATTAGTTGAATAATGTGATTATATATTAGTTAATATAATATTATCAATAAAGTAATAAAATTTTAGAATATATCTAAGTATATCAACAAAGTAAGTATAAATATGTTAATTTTGTAAATTTTGTAACTTGGTTAATCTATAAACATAAGAATATGGTGATTTAGTAAAGTGGTCAGATTGTTAACTTTTCAAATAGTAGATTAGATATTCAAATCCTATCAACAGTAAAAATTTAGATAATTATCTATATAATATTTATATTATAGCAACTGTTACTAATAATTAGATTAGAATACTTGTAATAGCAGTCACATTAGCATAACTGGCAGATCATAGAGCATCTGTATAATCTGTTATACAGAAAAATGCAAACTAATAAATTAGACAATACAAATACTAGATAAGTTCTTGTAGTTATGTAAATTTGTTAAAATTAAGTAAGAAGTCTATTTGAGAAGACTTAAGTAAAGAAGTAGTTAGATTTTTAATGGCCTTATTGTAAAGACTAACTCGGAAAAATAGATACCAAAATTGTAGTACCTAATTGTAATAACTAAACAGGCAAGAACTTTTAGATTGAGAGTTTTGAAGATACCACCAACCAGGCTGTTGAAACAAACTAAAAAAAAAGGATATTAGGCTAATTTGATATACTAATAAACTGATTATAGTTCTATATAAGCTATCTAAATTGGGAGTTTGGTAAAAAGACAAATAAAAAAGTAGAGATATACTAAAGTACTGGAATTATACTATAAAGTAAATGCTAGAATCTGTATGAACTCTACAAAGGTATAGCAACTAAATAATATAACTCTAATTACAAGTATTAGTTCTGCTATAGTAATATCTAGATTAATTGTAAAATGAATATAGAAGACTTTGAAGGGTTTATCTTAAGAATAAATTAGTTCTAAAATTGAAACAATAATCTGAGCATCTGAGTATAACCTAGTAAGTTAATACAGATTATAGGTTCAGAAAGTTTAAAGTAAAACATTCAAACAGAAATATTAGATATAGCAATTAATGAGGAACCTTTAGATAAACTTTTAAATAGGTAATATAGAAAACTTACACATATAGCCAATTGTACTCTCTTCTATAATAGTTCATAAAATTATATTATTAATAAGTTATTAATAAAAGTCAAAAGACTAAAGAGGTTACCTTAATACCAAAAAAAAAAATTTATAAACATATATTAGATTATACAGAATATTATTAAGGGTAGTGGGTATAGTAAATCATTTTCTATATGATCTATATAGTAAATTACATTTTTAGTAAAAAATGAACAAATACTTAGAATAAATGTTTTTTAAATTTTAATAAAAATTTATAAGCTTTTTATAATATATATATTAAAACAATATATATCTTTTTATGAAATTTTAAAGTTTATTAATTACAAAAAATTTGTACTTATATATATTATAAAGTTTGTCTAGATTAACTCAAATTTGCTTAGATAATACAAAATAATCTATTTTAATTAGTTAATTTTTGTAGTTTTATATAATAAACTTTATAATAAAAAATTATATCTAATCTTTAAATATTGATAATTTAATGAGATTTTAACTAATTTTAATAAAATTATTATTGTTAGAATTACAAAAATCTACTCTACAAATTTGTTTAAAAGCTTAAAATAGATTTAATTAATAAAAAATTCTATAATTTAAATTATAAAAAATATTTACTATTAAGTTTATATATAATTTTAAAATAGTACTTACTATCTTTAACTAAAAGAGTTTATTTTTATACTTTTTTAAAAAATTAATTTTTATAAGTTTTATATATATTTTAATATAATTGATATTTTTCAATTATAAATAAAGTTAATTTATATAATAAACAATAGTAATAATGTAGAAAATAAATTATATAAAACCAAATACATTATAAGATTATTTAATAGTAACTTGTTATTTTTAATTAATTAAATTATAAAATTTGATTAATCCAAATTAGTTCAAAAATTAAACTAAATAATTAAAGATAGATTCTATATAGATTATTTTATTATATAATTTACATGTCTAATTAAAATTTTTATAAAAAATTAAAAAATATTATTAATATAATTTTTTATAATTATATTTAATTTAATTTTTTTTTTGGTATTAAGGTGATCTTTTGGGTTTTTTGACTTTATTTAATAATAATAAATATGGTTTAATGAACTATTACAGAAAGAGTATACAATTAGTTATATATATAACCTTTTTATATTATTTATTTAAGAAGTTTTCTTACTAATTGCTATACTTAATATCCTTATTTGAATATTTCACTTTAAACTCTTTAAACCTGCAAACCTATTAACTTTACTGAGTCATATCTGATATTCAGATCATTGTCTCAATCTTAAGACTATTTTATCCTTAAGATAAATTTTCTAGAGCTTTTTGTATTTATTTTTACAACTAATCTAGATATTGTTATAGTAGAACCAATATTTGTGATTAGAACTTAACTATTAAACTGTTATGTCTTTGTAAAATTTACTTAGACTTCAGTATCTACTTCAGAGCATAATCTTAGTACTTTAGTATACCTTTGCCTTTTCATCTGTCTTTTTACCAAATTCCTAATCCAGATAGGTTATGTAAGATTATGATTAGTTTATCAATATATTAAGTCAGCCTAATATTCTTTTTTTTGATTCATTTTGGTAATCTGATTAGTAGTACTTTCAAAACTTTCAACTCAGAGGTTCTTGTCTGTTTAATTACTATAACCAAATACTATGACCTTGGTATTTGTTTTTCCAGACTAGTCTTTACAATAGGACCATTAAAGATCCAACTATCTCTTTATTCAGATCTTTTTAAATAGACTTCTTGTTATCCAATTTTAATAGATTTATATAGTTACAAATGTTTGTATTATCTAATTTGTCAGTTTGCATTCCTTTATATAACTTCAACATTGCACAAATGCCTTATAACCTACTAGTTATATTGATATGACTACTATTACAGATATCTTAATCTAATTATTAATAATAGTTGTTATAATATGAATTTTATATAGGTAATTATTTAAATTTTTATTATTGATAGGATTTAAATACTTAATCTATTATTTGGAAGATTGACAACTTGATCACTTTACTAGATTACCACACTCTTATATTTAATTTTATTAAAATTTTATAATATATATATTTATAACTCTTTTTTTTTTTTTTTTTTATTAAAGATTATACTTATGATGATACTTTATTGACTTATATCAGGTTAATTATTACAACTATTTTTATAAAGATGAGAGTATAGCTAGTTATATGTATAACTTTTGGTTGCCTATTTAAGTAGTCTGCTCTAAGGTTCTACACTAGATGTTATAGCTATAATCTACTAAAAGATTATCTATTTTAAACTCTCTGATCATCTGCCTTGTTATATTGGAATCTCTAACTAACCCCCCATATATACCTAACCAATATACCATCTGAGTAGTATGGTTATCTACCCTTTTTGTATTGGTTCTTAGGTCATTATATATTTTAGAGTACATTATCTGCTAGTAAGATACAGAAGGCCTTTTGTTATTAACTATCTACTCAATTTTAAAACACTAATATGAATTACCTTTATAGAATTCACCCAGACCCTAGTACTAATTTCACAACATATTCTTAGTACTTTTAGTATACCTCTGCTTTGAATTCAGACTCCTAATCCAGATAACCCAGAAGAACTATAACCTGTCCTTGGTATATTGAGACTAACCCAATATCCTTTTCCTTTGGTCTGAAATCTGATGGCCTGGTTGGTAGTATCCTTTAACTAAGATTCTTACATATCTGAATCTTTTATATTGGTATCTATTTTCTAGATTTAGACTTTATAGTAGTATTGTTAAAGATCTGTATTATTTCTCTGTTTAGAATTTTTAAGTAGGTTTCAGCTTCTCAGTTCTACAGATTTATATGACCCAAGGACTTATTTTAGGTTTGCATTGCCTAATACCAGTTTGCATTTCTTTGTGTAACAGATTACACAGATGCCCAGACCTGCCAATCATGCTGGTATGATCATAGTTACAAGTATTCTATCTCAACTAATCGACAGAATATCATTGCCATAATACCATCTATATATTATATAGGTGATTATTCAAATTTTACCATCAGTGGGTTTTGAACTTACTACCTACCACTTGGGAGTATGACAACTTATCCACTTCACTAAGTCATCACATCTTTATTTATAACTTTTTTCAATAATTATCTAAATTAAACTTTTTAAAAAACTAAACTGCAAAAAAATAATATAATTAATATATTAAACTTTATAAAAACTTTTTTAGAATATTGTACACACATAGTTGAACATTGAAATAAAGTTGAAAAAAAAATTGCATCTTTATGATAATAGTTTAAAAATATTTTGGAACTATAGAAAAAGTAATTAGTAAAAACCAAAGTTTTTCATTTTTAGAATCAGAAAAACCTATTCTACAAACCTAAAATAATTAATTTAATAAAATTTTTTAAAATATTAAAAAAAAAATTTACCATCAAGATCATATGAAAAATAACCTACATTAAACTCTACCCTTAAACTGAATTATTCCAAAATGAGATATATGTAAAAATGATCCTTTTAGTTGACGACACTCCATATGATTTACACGTATCCTAACTTTAGGGTAAGTATATTATTACATGACAGGTTTTTTAGTTTATAATAAGTACGTGATTTTGGTACGTGCCCGTAGACCGTCCTTGTGAAATTCATTTTTATTTTTAATGCCAGCGTTATAGAAACTTACACAAACTTACGTAATTTCCAACCCTATTTGTTACTCACCAAACATTGATCTTGGGCAAAAATAGTTAATTCCGGCCTTGCTGATCATTATTTCGAGGTATTCCGATTCGGAAATCTGGTATGTTCAAATGGCGATCGGAACCGAAAATTATCATACCATCCTTCTATCAAAATCAAAGGAAAAGACATAATGGCAGCTCAACTGTATAAGACAACGTCTGGTCGTCTATTTCATGCAGGAAAGATAGCTATAATTACCGTGGGGTACGCTAAGGATATTGGCTTTTTTTCTATACGTATTTTTATATTACATTAATATTTATTCTTTCATAAGGTTGCCTGCGAGAGGAAAGACCCATATTTCGCGCTCGTTGTGCAGGTATCTTCGATGGCTGGGAGTTCCTACCAAAGTGTTTAGCGTAGGAAACTATCGTCGTAAAGCAATGGGAACTGCAGAGAAATTACCACAAAATTTTTTTGATTTTGGTATATTCCAATTTATATGCTATGAACATGAATCATAGTTTCATAATTGTTTTGTAAATAAATATGTCATAACAATCCTTGTTATTATAAAGGGAATCTTGAGGCTGCTGAGGCTCGACATAAAATATCGATAGAATGTTTAAAGGATATGATAAAATGGTTGGAAGATGTCGGTCAAGTTGGCATCTTGGATGCTAGTAATACGACCGAAGAGAGGCGTAGAGAAATATATAACATCTTAATTAATGAAGGAATTCAGGTGAGTGTATCAAGTTAAATAGCTTTCATATGTTAATTCATATTAAACGTGCATATTTTAATTTGTCTTATACAGCCAGTCTTTATTGGTAAATTTGGTGCTACTTTTTATATTATTTAATCAACCATTATTATATGTAATATTATATTTAATGTAATTTAGAATCGATATGTGATAAACAGGACATTGTTGAGGCTAATATTCGAAGTGTCAAAATAACCTCACCGGATGTACGAAAATTCTCATATAGAATTGATCTATAGAAATATCTAATTATCTAATATAACAAACCCCGCAATTTATTTCACATGTAGTATATTGGTTGGGATCGAGAGGAGGCCGTTAAAGATTATTGGGTATGAAAACGTATTAAAAACGTATTAATATTCTCTTCAAATTTTTGCACATCTGCTTGACACTTGCCTTTTGTTATTTGATGTAATAGAAACGTATCAATAATCATTTAGGGCATTATCAAACAATAACTGATACTTCACTAAGTTTTGTTAAGATGATGAATGTCGGTGAACGTATTATCGTTAATAATGTGAAAGGATATCTTCAGGTTTACATCCATTACTCAGCAAATGCAATAACTTTACGTTTTATCTGACAATATATTTTATTCCTTTTTTTTTTCTTTTTGTTAGTCTCACATAGTGTTTTATTTAATGAACCTACATATTTCACCTAGAATAATATATTTCGCACGGGTATTGAAACTTCTATTGCTTGCTTAAATTTATATTTTGAATATATATGTTATGGCTGACTCTGTTGAAAAGGCAGGTGAATCATTAAACGAAATGTCTCAAAAAGCTGACGCAGAATTAAGTCCCGAGGGTATACGTTATGCACATAATTTAAAAAATTTCTTGTTGACTTTGAGAGAAAAAGAAAAAAAACAACGAATAGAAGAGGGATGGGGTGATGAAGACGGAAGAACACTGACTGTAAGCCGTTTACTGTATAGTTTGTTTTGAAATTCGATTATATGTGAATCTTTGTATTCGGTATTGTTTACTAGATATGGACATCGCCACGTCGGCGTTCATACCAAACTGCGAAACCTTTTGAAGATGAAGGTTATATTGTGAAACAACGGACGTCAATGGCGGAAATCAATCTTGGGGAAATAGACGGGCTAACGGTTGATGAAATAAAGGTAATATGATATAGTCCTATTTTCGGTAGTTACTAGCAAATTTGGCAAAGTCGAGTCGGGCATTTATTTCAATATTGATTTAGGCTAAATTTCCCGAAGAATATGTAAAACAACAACAGGACCTGTACTACCATCGGTACCCGAGGGCTGAGGTAATTCACTAAAAAGCTACCTTCAAGGGTTGAGTATTGCCAAGTTACATGAACAAAATGCGCGAAATGAGTTTGACCTAATAAAGTGGACAGTCAAATTTGTGCGTTCCTGTTCGTGTAACTTCTTATGCCCCAAAAATAAGTACCCTTAAATCCTATTACATCCAGTTCTCACGGAAGATAATTTGAAATTTTGATTATTTTATCAAGTCTTACCATGATTTAGCTGTCCGCCTTGAGTCTATAATTCTTGAACTTGAGCATGAAAAAAATGATGTCTTAATCATTGCTCATGAAACGGTATTGAAGTGCTTGTATGCGTATTTGTTTGACCAACCGGAAGATGTAAGATTTTTCATCATAAATTCTTGGTTTCTAAAGCGATGTTTAATAATCAAATCTACTGTTATTAAACAGGAAATACCCAGAAATGTTATACCTAAAAACTATTTGATCGAAATTATTCCCTCTGCATACGGGTGTAGGGAAACTCGAATGGAGATTGAATATACCGTGAATCAAATTGTGCCTTCGTTAACAAAATCTAACTCTAATGTTTAGATTGACAAGATTTAATGACTAATGTCGATTAAGGAGTATATAATTTAATATAAGTTTTAGCCACTTATAAACTTAAGATTTGTTTCTGTGATTAGAGCTATTAACTGAAGTTATTTGCAATATGTAAATCGATTTTGTCATTAATCATATCAGTCACACGATTTGTCAAACTAACTACACAGGCCTCTATAGCCATCTTCTCTATAGTTACATTTGATTATAATCACATAAATTTTTAAAATCAACTTATATAATACTTATAAAATTTAGCCTTCAATTATAAGTATCAAATTCTTAAAATCAAAAGTGTAATTATAGAGAGGTTTGATTGTATATAATAGACAATTATTTTTTAAATTGTATTTTAGGCAAATTTGTTTAGAAAATTTTATTTTATTTTATTTTTTTTTTTTTAACTTTGGTGATAATGCCAGTTGGTTTATTGGCTTTAATTTGATATAGTACAGATTTACAATTACATTTTTAGGATCAATTATTACTAATACTATATATTATCTAATTTTACATTATTGACTTCACCTAGTTACCTTTATGGCATCTAAGTGCATGTTTGCTGCATGTCTGCATACTGTTATCTTGACAACTACTTGTGATCATGATATACATTAAATCATTACACAGACAAGAATATTTACTGAACATGATGCAACATCTCAAATATTAGAGGTATTGTTTTCTGTAAATTGTATTCATGTGTTCTACTTACATATTTTATCTGGTCTTGTTTCTTCTCCTCTTAATCTAATTATATCTAGTATTATCTTATTCCTCACATTTCTCACTTTTTCATTATTGTATTATTTCCAAATTGATCCTATTCGGGGATGTCTAATCCTTATGATCTTCTCATCTTTGATATATCTGTTATTATTTCTCTTAAGGTGTTTTGACAATAGTTTAAAATCTGCAATAAACCTGTATCTTAAATCAGATCTGCTACTACTATTAGTCTTTTGACCAATCCATATCTTAAGCCAAATTTGTTATCATTGTTTTTGCAAATGTCTTAGGTCTTAGCATCATACAGTAACTTAATGCTATATTTAACTTCTAATATGGTGCTTTCTTTTATAATAGAAACTAAAACTTGTTGTATTTACAAACAGAATATTTTTGATTATACCTAAAGAGTTTCTCTAATCCTAGTGATTTTATACTACTATATATTACAATCTCTTAACTTATTCAATAATATCTGCAAGACAATTCTGGTTATATTCAAAGAGTTATACTGACTTTCATGATATCATACTACCTTGCAGATCTTATTTCATATTGGTTGGTTGATCTCTAGTTTTGTTCATTATAAACTTCTATATAGGTATAATCAAAACCTGATTTGGTACTTTTATATTATATAAGAAAGTTATATGCCTACCTCCAAGATTTTCTTTTCTATAATTTTAGAAAATTAAATTATATTTAATATTTTTTAAATAAAATAATAATTTATTAATAATATAAGATATATATTTTATCTTAATATTAAAATATATATATATATATATATTATAGAATATATTTTAAAAAGAGAATATTAATCTTAATGTAATAATTAGATTGTTATTTTTTAAGCAGTAAGTTCAGAATTTAAATCTCATTAATAGTAGAATTTTTAAAAAAAATTTATTTTAATAATTTAGAAAAAAGATTAAAAAATTATAATTTTGTAATTTTGATTGTATTAAAACTAATTTTGAAAGTAAATAATATTATATAAATAAATCTAAAAAGTATATATTATAATAAAAAGTTTATTTAGAAATTTTAAATAAAAAAATATTATAATTTTTGATAATATTATTTATAAAAATCTTAATTTAAAAAAAGAATCTGAAACAAATAATTTGTATAAGAAAAACCTTTTAAATAAAACATATTTTTATTTTTTATTTTTTTTTTTTAAGTAGTTATGTTAGTATTTTATTAAGATTTTTGAAACTACTATTATAATTACATAAATTTATCTAACAACTAAGCCTAACATTACCTGGCTACCTTAATGATGCCTAAGTGCAACCTGTTGTATTGCTTCTAGCAAAAGTAAGCTGCTTGTCTAACTACTTAAAGTTTATAATAAAAAGGTCTTCACTCTTTTATGACAAGCTTATTAATTGTCTTTCTAATTTCTTTTTTTATTCACTCTTCTTTTTCTTTTGTTTTTTTTTTCCTTTCTTTTATTGCTTGCTGATTAGTATTTCTTTTCTTCTTTATACTTGACTTTCTTTTTTCCTTTAGTCTTCTTTTTTTCTCTTTACTCATTATTTCTCTTTCTTTTTTCTATGTGTTGACCTTTTCGCAATAAATTCTTCAGACTTGTTTATAGAATGTATTCCATGTTGTTTCTGCTAATATGTTTGCAAAATGTTGTCTTGTTTTTATACTTAAGATTTGAGATAATCTGTCTTGCGTTGTTCTTGAGATTAGGCTGTTAATCAGTGCTTTTCTTATTTTATTTCTTCTCACTCTGTTTGTTCAAAAAGTGCTATATATAATACTTAAGATGGAACTTATATCTTTTCTTCTTCTTTTAAACTGTTTCATGCTGTCATGATAGATACTTTCTGTATTCTTTTTCATAAATTTGTTTGTCTCTTAAATGATGCCAAATGTTCTTGTGTTTTTTTAACTTTGCTTTAGCAAACTTGGCATTTTGTTATTATATATATATCTGGCCTTCTTCTATTAAGTTCTTTCAATATTGAAAGTTTGTTCAATATACATTTTATGAAAGTACTTATTCTTGTTAGATAATGTATTTTTTTAGATAAATCTAGTCTTCTCCAAAAGTATGTCCAATTGTATATTATTACTTCTTCTTTTGGCTCAATATTTTTGATCACTATTGTTTCTTTTCACTTTACTTTCAGTCTGGTGTTTGTTATTATTTTACATAAAAGTCTTGCAGGTATGTCTATTTGCTTGTTTTCCCACTTTAGGCAGTACTCTATTTCTTTATGGCTAATTTCTTCTGGAAAAATTATTTTTTTGCTTAATGTTCTCTTCTTCACAAAGCTATTAGCTTTATCATTTCATTTATTTTTACTATGACTTTTAACTTTAATCCACTTTATCTGTATGTTCTTTGTTTTTACTATATCTATTATCTTCAATACCCATAGTATATTTTTCTTTTTGAGAACTTTGTTTTTATCTATACACACTAATCCTTTACTAATGTTTCTAATTGCTATATTGCTATCTGTAAATATTACTAATTTTTCCTTTTTGGTATTGTTAAGATTACTGTTTATATTGCTAGCACCTCAGCTGTAGTAGACGTAGGCCATCTTTTTACTCCTAATGCTACCTCTTCTTTTGACCAATTTTGTGCTTTAGTTATTTATACCCAACCTATATCCATGTTTTTGTTTGTTGCTTCTTCTTTGTTTCTTTTATTTGTTGCACTATCTGTATATATTATATATTTGTTTTTGTCTCTTAATATATTTCTTCTTAAGACCTCTACTAGCTCTTGACTAACATTCTCCTTTATTTTTGGTTTTCTAATTAGTTCTATTTCTAGACCTTTTAATATCTTTAGTCCTATTAGTTTCTGTTTATTTTTCCTCAGTTTCTCAGTTCTCGTATATCCTATTAGTTGGTTAGTAGCTGTCTTGATTATATTATTGTTCTTTTCTATTAGCATATCTGAGACCATATTTATATTATTGTTGATTCTTATCCAATATTGGCAGCTATTTTCTTCTGTCTTTTTATCTCTTGAACACTACTTGTATTTGTCAATTTTTGTTATTAAGTTACTTTTTATATTATGCATTTGCCAATGTTCTATTAGTAGCTTCTTCTTCTTCTTTTTAACTATTTTTTCTATTTGTCTATTCTCTATTGCACTATATATTATTCATTTTTTTTTCTTCTATTCTTTAACAGAGTTCTCCACTTAATCTTCATTGCTTATATGTTGCATCTGCCTGTTTTAAATTGTTTCTTAACTTCTCTGCTTTTAGTTTTGTTGAGCATTTTTGTTTCTATTATTTTGAATCATTCTGTCTTTTTGCTTTTGCTTGACTAATTCTGATAGGTCTTGAATTGCTGCTATATTATTAGTCTTTCTTCTTTTGTATTAAGTAGTTGGTTTAGATATATGAGTCCTGTTTCATTTATTTTGGGTCTGCTTTTTTTTCATAGCTATGATTCTACTAGTTCAATTACTTTAAGACTATAACTATTTGTTGTTTATAGTTCAGTTTCTGTGTTTATATTTATTTCTAACTTTCTTACTTTGACTATTGTCAAGCAGACTAGATTGTTCTTTCAACATGACTTATCTTTTGGCAGTTTTTCTACTTTCTATATGTCTTTTATCAAACTTGCTTTTTGACAATTCTGTGTTATTCTTAGTTTTGTTAGTTGCTCTAGTTTATCCTTTCTGTTTAGTTTTGCTATTAGGCCTCCTATTTGTTTTATTATTAGTTCTTGTTGCAGGATTTTGCAGCTATCAAGATCTTTGTGTTTTATTATACAGTTTTCTAATGTTCTTAGTAAACCACTTTTTTGTTTTGCCAAACATATTATTGGTTGGTGTATTTCATTTATCTCTTTTTCTGATATTTTTGTTAGTTGCAACATGTAGCTTAATTTTGATATTATTTTTATATTGTTTATGTATACTATTTGGCTTATTGTTATTTTTTTATATTTAAGGTCTTTTATTGTCTAACTTATTATCCCTTTTGTTTTTTTCTTTACTAAGACTTCTCATATTCTGTTGTTTAGCCAAATTTCTAATGAACATACTATTTTGTTTTTTGGCTCTTTTATTATCTTGCTTCCTTCAAAATTTATTTCTCTTTCTTCTTTCTTAGCTTTCTTATTAATTATTATCAGTTTTGATTTCGATCCATTTATCTCAATGTCATTCATTTTAAAAAAGTTTTCTGCCACCTTTAGAATTTCTATAAGTTGTTTCTTGCTTTTTGCAATCCATATTGTATTATCTGTATATGCAATTGCTG